GTTAGAAGAGTTTTGCGAGTATCTACAGTTTTTTGTTCGAGCATCAACGTTCGAAATCAATCCTATTATGCATGTAAAGTTAACGAAAGCTAAAGGTAAATGACTGTTTGAAAGTGTATTTATATAACTAAGCTGCTATAGTGCGAGCTTTTTACAATAAAACAACTTCGACTTCTCATAAGAACTTAGTTGACTTCATTATATCTTACAAATTAATCTTTAACAATAAGTAATAGTAAACTAACCATAAAATAAGCTTTCATTTAAAATAAAACTTTCTCCTTCTAAAGTGTATATTTAAAGAGACTTGAGTAATTCACGAACATTTCATACTCTTACACAAAAATGATACGGTGAAACTTCATTTCTTTAATTCTCTCCACTTTAATGCGATATATCGAAAAATGATATGCTGTATTATTACACCACATAAGTATATACTGATCATGCAAACATAGAGAAGAAAGATCGATGCAACGGACAGTAAGGTAACCGACATTAAACGGAGATTCGTGTCGCTGCTTGTGATAGTCTGGGCGGAAAATCGATCCGGACCCTTGTTTGCCCGTTAACGCCGGACGTGACATTAAATGCAGATGCAAAGTTCACAGTGGCGTTTACTGACAATGTAGGTATGTATATCGATGACGGCCATGCAGCCCGTAAATCACATAGCTATTACGGTAGTCCATGTTCGATCGCCAAGCGTGTAATATGCGGGGAGATAATAACCGTGAATGACTTTATATTAACCCAGCAACAATGACTTGAGAACTCCTTTTACAGTAAAAACTTCCACGATGTGAGACTGCACAATTTCTCACATCCGAAATTCGATATTACACGCTCGGTGACATTTTGCATTCCTGCGTAACATACTTATTACTATGCTTTAAATAATATCGATTTTGTTTAACTTATTATTATTAAATAATATTGTTCCAGATGCGTAAGATGCATAGAACACTCGCGCAAAATTATCTATTTCTATTTCCGATCAGATTTTCGAATTACTTCAACAGATGTTCATACCAAACCAAAGTATAATTTAACATATTATTAATTGTTAGCATCAATTCATTATTGCCTATTCATATAGGAATAGGAATTGCATAGATTGAATATTGCAACATATTGTATGAAATATTTAATAAACGATTGTAGCGCTTTAAATCAGCATGAATCATAGAAATAAGCAAAATACAGTATCAGATATTCAAATGAATAGTTTTTCAATGCTTAACTTTCTCTCTCTCTCTAATAATAATCTGCGATTCTCAGATTTATTTAACTCTAAATATAATGTAAAATGTGAAAAAATAATATAAAATGTGCATCAATCTTTCTAATATAATGCGTGTTTTGCATGCCGATTCTGTTTTGACAGTTCAAAAATGTAAAAAAAATTTTCTTTAAAAAAATCCTCTTAAAGAAAAAAAAATCTGCGTCAAATTTCACTAAAACTCTGTTTTTGAAATATTTGAGGTAGTGCTAAAGCATCACGATCACTGGAGTACTTTAAATTCTACTATGATACACGAGACGCGTGGCGCGATTTCGGAGTGTCACGAGAATTCGACGCAAAAGTTCAAACGTCGACGAGCATAGGAAAGAAGACTGTTGACGAAAAATCTGTCATTGTTCAAGAGAGAGAATCAGAACAAACGTGTCCATGCATATGTAGATGCGGCCGTATCTGCAATGCAGATCTGCGCGGCATCGGCGAGTCGACCTTCGTGAAATCGAATGATCTGAGACTTTGCAATTCCACATGAAACAATTCAAAAAATGATAAAATAAACGAAAATTAAAAACAGAAAACAAAAAAAGATAGAAAAAGAAAGAGAAAGAAAGAAAGAAAAAAAGTCAAATACAATAGACTTTCTACAATAAGCTGTTATTTTATTTAAGTTTTCAATTTCAAATCGTAAAAAATTCACCAATCATAGTCGAATGTAAGAAGAATAATCGATTATAATTGTCAATTTCTTATAGCTTAAAACTTAACCCTTAGATAATGATTTATGATGGAGGAAGCCTATATAAGATAAAACAAAGATTATTTAATCTCCTATAGATTAATTAATCTCCTATAGATTTCCGAATTATAAAATAACGATTGACGATCATATTTGTTTTATTTTTAATATAGCGTAGCCTTCCATGTCATAGATATTTTTCCAAAAAGATAGATGCTTTTATTATCCATAATTTTCATAAACAAATAAATTATAAATTTATAAAACATTTCATAACTTATTTTTTTTATAATATTAAATATAACATCTTTCAATACCGTAATGCGAATAAGAAATAAAAGCCTGAATGATCTGGATTTTTAATGCTTAAATAATTCTGTAACATTACTGCTCTTCTTATTCGAATTTTTTTTAGTTCAATTTTTTTACATATTAAGCATGTATACTTAATATATTAATACTTTATTTTATATAAAACATTAGGACTAAGCAATTAACGATAGATTCTTGGGGTTAAATTTTACATATAATAATAAAGAGCAAAACAATAAATAATATTAAGCAAACAGAATACTCTTAAAAGACAAACAATATTTATATGAAAAATAATGTAAAATGTGCATCAATTAGCTACTAATTGTTTTGTAATAGTTGATTAAACTTAATTTCTTAATTCTCAGGAAATTATGTCTCGAAAAAGTCTCGCTCGATACAATTTCGCCAGTTGTGAAATATATCGTTCAGCAAAGTGAATTATATCGTTCAATTTATAACTGCGACGTAAATCCTTTTTACTTACAACATGGTGCATTTTTGCGAAATCGAGCGAAAAGATTTAAGAGAGCGTAGCTGACTTCTTCCTTCGGATAAGTGTAACTCCATCTTTCTTCTTGAGATCGATCTGGACGAATCGTCGATGTCTCCTTAAATCGCCGTAAGTATGTCGGCACGAGCAAAGTAAACGCATATAAGCGTACACGTGCGAGAATAAATCGTCCATTCGCACGAGAGATTTAAAAGATCATTCTCTCGCCTCAGAATAAATTTCACTCGCACATTCCTCCGCGAGTTATTTTAAAAATATCACACAACGAATGATATTCTGCGTGAGGGAACACAAGTGATAGACGCAACATCTCGAGAGAAGATATTTGAGGCAGTGATTTTGTCTTTTCTTCTTTCTCTATTTTTCGAGACGAATTCGGCCAGAATTCTTTTTACGGATCGATCGATACGCTACCGAAATGTCGACGCTAAAAATGGTAATCGTGTCACAGGAACGAAGCGAGTGTATGAAAATGACCGTCCTTATTTCATCGTGATAAGAGAATTTTGAAGAAACTCTGAAAAAAATTGCTCTTCTCTTCAATACTTATAAAATAGAAAGTTAAACGATTTATATAATAATCATTTTGATAAAGTCAACTTCTTTAAAATATGATGTTATAAATTTATAATTTTCAAAAATCTTGTTTTATTTGAAATTAACATTATAAAGAAATTTTTTGTACTATGTCATTTTAATAGTATTAATAAAAGATTCTACTCATTTTTTATCAAGAATATAATTCTTTAATTCTTTCTGAATTTTTGGAAATTACAATGTTTGAGAAAATTAGATACAATCGTAAAAAGCCAAAAAAGTTTTAAATTCTTTATAGGAAGAGATAACTTGTTTTCTTTCTTTGATGACATCAGTTGTAAGATGCTCGGTTAAATGGTCGTAACTGTGCCAAGAGGACGAAGTTACAAGCTACACGTGGGTGAGAATAAATCGTCCGACTTCTGGAAACGACGACGCGAAACGAGCTAACGTGTCATCGACTGCGACCCGACTGGGAACTACCACTTCCTCCCTATAATGGAAGAAATATCTTCGAAACGTCGATATTGGAAAGACACGAAAATGGCAACGGGAGAGTTTCTCACCTTCGAGAATGTCGATCGCGTAATTTATACACTCCGTTCGTAGCCAGTCATCTCTGATATTGTTGCATAAAGATCAACACTGACAATGAGTGAGTTACTTTTTACATTTAATATCGCTCTATTTCATTGCTTTGCTTTACGAAAAGATTTAGAAATATCAATTTTATTACGTGTTACGTCACGCATAGTAAGCAAAACTAAATATAAAAATATCAACTTCCAACTTTAATAAAAAAAATATAATAAAGTAAAGTAATAATAAAAAATAAGTCAATCAAGGTTATTTCTTTTTCTCTCCATAAATAACATATCGCATGTCGGCATCATTTCGGCACGTTTCAGAAGAAAGCATTCTTTTTTTAATAATGTAATCCTACATAGTAGAGCAGTCACGCGATATAAAGAACAGACAATGGAATGAAAAGTCTGTTGCTCTGCCTCGCTTACGACTTTGATATAGAACAACCTTGAGCTAGCAAAGCGAATTTTCTAGCTTGAAGACAGCATCCAGAAGTATCAAAATCTACTATACCAGAATAAAATGTACACTTAATGGAGCGAACAGTGACGAAGCTATTTGTAGATGCGTATCATACATATAAAAAGAAGACGATAACATCTCAAGAGATTCTATAAATTATAATGCATACATATCGACATAGTATAAATTTTAATCACTAAACGCAAAAAAAAACATATTAAATTATTATTAGAATCGTGATATTGATCTTAATATGATTTCTTCAATCTTTAATTCATCTCTTCAAGTCATAATTTACTTCTATATAATAAGCCAGAAATAGCAAATGGTTTATTTCTTGTAAATTATAGACTCCCTCTAATTTTCCCTCTATTTTACATAACTTTTTAAACTTTAATTTTAATATTTTATCATTCAATATATCTTAATAATTAATTATAAGTCTCAGTTTAAAAAATTATGTTAATATTTACCCCAAAATTAAAAGATGAGTAATGTTCTATCATATATTTTCGTAATTTGTAAAAATCTCTTTTCTCAATTTGTAAAAAGTCTTTCGTCATCAGATTTTATATAAATTAGTATGTAAATTTCTGAAACATTTTACTCACCCTTTGTGCCTTCCGTTTATCAGCACGTTGATTTTGATGATATATTCTGCTGAAATTACTGACGATAACAGGTACCGGTAAAGCGATCACTAGGACACCGCTCAAGGAGCATACACCCCCGACGATTTTTCCCGCAATCGTTTTCGGAACCATGTCACCGTAGCTGAAACAAACAGAAAAATATTTGTTAAAGCAGTAGTTTCGTGATTTATACGAGATAACATTTCGTAAATTTCGTGAAGTAAAAATACCAAAATTAATATATACTAAATTTCAAATTTAGGACATAAGTTTTATTTTTCTTTCAAAAATTCAGAAAATATTCAAAAAATCAGAACATTTAGAAAATCAAATTAAATTTGACAAAAATATTCAAACTCAAGTTACAATCATGTGATAGTTTATCAATTCTTTTCAAATTCTAGAATAATTAGAAGATTTATAAATTTCTAGAATTTAAATAATTAGAAAATTTATAAATTTTTCGAATATAAAAGAATTTTAAATTTTAGTAATTATAAATTATAATAAAGTTTCAGAAAAATTTACAATCAAAATTCAGAAATCTAAATACTCTAAAATGTACTTCGAGATGCTAAATTATTATGTAATAATTTAGTTCCCAAATATGTATACAACTTGCACATATTAATAGTCGAAAATTTTGCTGCTTAAACCGTCAAATTTATCAGAACTCCATATTCTACAATCCAATACATTTCAAAGGATTCCAAACTCATAGGGTCATGTTCATTTCGAGATATATAATTCCAAGTGAATGTCATGCTTCGCGCATCAGAAATTCGTGAAGCATTGTTGTGAACACTGTTGGCAACACAAAATAGTAGTAGCTTAGACAAACAATCCGGCCAAGTGTTTAGAAAGCACGATGGAATTATATATTCCCGACGTTGTCGCCCACGAGAGCACGCATCGCGACGAGGGAAACGAGAGAGAACGATGGATAATTCACAGCGTGCTTGAAAAATTCAGTCGTAAAAGATACATTCTTCGTCCTCGTTTCTCAGCCGTGTGAATGTCCATCCATAAAATTTTTCCGCGACTACGTGGCTAGCTATGTAGTCGACCATTTCCCACAAGGTTTCCCAGTCCAATTCCATTACACATTTACTGTGTATCGAGTGACGCAAATATGTACGAGCGTGCAAATATGTACAGCAACCCTCGGCTGCCTATTTAACTTTCTTTCGTGACAACGCGTGTTTAAACATTTGCGTATCGTTAAAACTACAACGGTGAGTTTTTGTTAAAATCTCTTTCACAAAAAAATAAACGATTTGTTAAAACAACTAAAAACGTCACAGATTTAATAAATTTACAGTCATAATATACAGACAGCCAATTTTCTAAATTAAAATAGTAAAGTTATACAGCTGAATAATATTAATGGTTAAATAAATAATCATATACAGTTTGTTACAACAAAGTTAACTTTCTATACTGTAATATAACAAAGTTAACTTTCTACGAAAATCAATTTAATATACATATATAAATAAAAATTTTTAGAAAAACGTGCTACTTAAGATGGCGTGTACTTCCGCTGATATTATATAATGAAGAAAATTTGTTACATTAGCAATTTTCATTGTAGCAAAGAATTAACTGGATTAGCATACTAATAATTGCTTAATATAATTTCTTTGTTGAACCATCAAATCTTCTTAATTCTAGATATTAAACTCATGCAGCGAACTATAGCTTTACTGAACAACAAAATCTACTTATATATATGTATATTCCGTGCTTTTTTTATTGATAAAAGCAAGTAGCCTATGTTGGATAACATAAAATATTGCGTAATTTCAGCGTTTATAGTCATCGTTACAGTCATAAAAAGTTGCAATATCATTATAAAAAAAATTATTATTATAAAAAATAACTGTAAAAGTAATGGAAAAGTAATTTTTCCATTCCATGTTGACAATATATATGTTAAGAACAAGATCATTAGGGAAGAATTTCTTCATCGCCATTTTTAAATAAACAAAAATATGTTTATTCATACGAATATGTCGATATTTAATACTTATCACAAAAATTGATATAAAAAGAGTCGTATTATTATCGGCGGAACCAGAAACTACATTATATTACGTACAATGGCGATCGTTTATTCTTCCGACATGCCTCACTCGGGAGATCAAAAGGAGAAGCGCGTGAAAAAGAGAGAGCACTGATGGAACTGGAGATAAAATGAAGTGTAATGGATCGCACTTGACAGCTGCGCGCAGATCATTCCTTTTTGCAACGAATTTCTCGCTAGCACGCAATTTCAGCTCGTGACTAAGGAACCAAGTGTAAAAGCTCTATTCTGAAAACAATGCGACACAATCACGAGTCCAAGAGAAAAAAATGTTTTCTTAGAAATGATCGATTGCTCAACATCCTGCGCAATATATCGCAAAACTGTCACTTATATTTTGAATTATTGAGGAAAAAATACGTAAGTCTATAAAATATATTATAACTATAATATATTATAACATATATTATAACTTTATAATAACTATTATATGTAAAAATACTAAAAAATTTATTATATACAATATCCTTCAATATATATTCAATAAACATTTCAAATTGATTTAATTTTAGAATTATAAATCATAAATAGACAAAAAGCTTTAATTTTATACTCATAGATTTTTAATTTATCATTAAACTTTATATTTTTTCTAGAATTTACAATTTAAAAAGTTTGGATATATACTAAGATATCCTAAGTTTAAATTTAAACAATTTTAAGATTCAATAAATTTTCAAAATTTCTTAAATCATAAAACCTATATATGACGAGATAGATAATACAATAATAGATAGTAGCTAACATATAATAATTGATTACAAGCATACAATTAAAATTAAATAATTTATAAATGTTTTTGAATACGTAGAAACTAAATTAAATAAATACAGCTCTTTTTTACTTAAATAATCTTCTTATTATCTATATTGCTTTACTAATCGCATGTAATTTCATAAACAATCTCTTCTTCTGTCGCATAATAATGATATTTGTCTGTCAAAAATATCCACAACTTTCACATGAAAACTGAATTGAATAAATGACTCCTTTTTACTTAAATAATCTTCTAACACGATTAGTTCTATATTGCTTTATCAATTGCACATAAGAGTCTCACAAAAGAGTGAAAGTAAACCAGAAATTGCAGGGCACATGAACTTTCATCCAAGCTCGGTTTTCCCAGTCGGCAATAATTTTCTCGCGTCCTATGGCCTGCCGGGCTCATTTCTCGACACTGATTTACGTGTCCCACGGACTTTTACAACGACCATGAAACGTGTCCTAGCGGGATCTCATCCTATCATCTTTCGCGCACGTGATATGCTGCATGTTATCGATCTTCCTCCTTTTTCTCGCACCTTTTATTTAATTAACAATTTTTCACGCCAATTATTTATCGATCGAATAATTTTTTTTTCTTTACATGACTATCTTCCGTGGGGAGAATCTTCCACACGGGTAAATCTGTCTCTCAGTAAACAAGCCAAGTATAAACGATTAAAAATAATTAATGCATTAGTTGAGCCTAAGAATAAATGCTGTTTTCCAACAAAAAGATAATATCATTGAAAATTCTAAGATAATGATGTAAAAAATAATAATAATAAATATTACAAATATTATTTACTAAAAGATTTGGTTTAAAATTAACTTCTTAAGATGGTTCTTTAGTAAATCTAGTTATTATAGAAGTATCTAATTCTTTTATACATATAATAAAGTACTGAACTTGCCGTGCAAAATTTTAGAGTTGATTAACGATGAAATAAGAGAGAAAAACAATTGCAAATATTACCCGGATAATGTGTATGAAAAATTGGGTAATAGAACGAAACTCGGATACTTAGATTTCGGATATTGACAGCTGTAATATAAGCTGTATATTGGTAAACTTCTTCAAATTTTCAAGACTTGTAATTAAAAATAAAAAATAAAAAATAAAAATTAATTAAAAATTAATCAAAGACATTAAGATATACAGGATAATTTTAATATTTTATCCAAATTATGCAGATATTTGTGATTTTAAATAGACCCTGGTGAAGCATCCCAAATGTTCGGCACTAAAAAAATCACCTTAATCTTTTTGAAAAATACAAAAGAAACAACTTTATCTTATACGTATTACGTATTACGTATTATATAAATTAATATTATATAAATTAATATTACAATTATATACAGTTAATATTTAATTGTAAAATTCAATTATAAAAAAATCTGTTTAATTATATAAACTATGGCATTTCAGAACTTATACCAAGATAATCTCAAAGATAAAAAATTTAATGAGACATTTACATATTCTAAAAATATATAATCCTGTTATAAAGTGATTGTTAACTTATTTCGCTCCAAAATAATATCGAATGCTTAAAATAGACAAATATCGAGTTAAAGAATTAAAAATGGCAAGTCGCATGAGTTCAAGGAAAATGCTCTTGGATCGAACCAATGAAGACTCATTTTTTTTGTTTGTCGATGTAACCGGGACACGCGACGGTAGCAAGTTTAGAGACGAAGACGTAGGATTTCGTGATCTATTGTTAGACAAGCACGCCTTGGGCGGTCACTGAGCAACTACCTAGGATTCAGTCGGATTTCGCAATGACACAGACCAGACCGAATTCGCAGTCAAATCACAAATGCAACATCACAAATGCCAATGTAGACAAAAAGTAATATCACGTTCAAAGATTCGAAGTAATTAAGTCGAGACTGATTTTGCGAAGTCTCCTGATATGAGCCGAAAATTATAATAAATTATAATATAACATGTAAAAAGTTTCCGTTTTACAATACTATAAAAAAAAATTATAAAATTTTAAAAATTATAAAAATAAATTACAATTCGTGCATAATGTAAAAAAAAATATATATATATATATATATATATTCATAATAATTTGTAGTAATGTTTTAATGTTTTAATAATTTAATTTTTATCTGTATCTAATAACGTTAATACAAATTTTATTTTATCAGATACTTCAACTTATATAAATTGAGTAAAAATCAAATAGGAAGATATAAGATTTGTTCTATTTCTGTACTGGTTGCACTAGTTCAAAAAGTGTTACACTAAAGTTTTTCTGTTCCCAAAATGGCGTCAG